TTTTTAGATTTTGCCCACGCGCCACCCACCCGCCCGCCTGCCTGCCTGCCTCTCCCTCCTCCTCCCTCCGCTTGGGTAAGCGGCGCGGTAAGGTTGCGCAGTGTGTGTCTTTGTTGCGTTATCACTGACGTCATATGACGTCTCGGACTGTGATTGGCCATGCAGCCCTACCCCCCTCTGCTGCTAGCTGTAATTGGCTTAAAGTATTATGACGTGACTACCCCGGGGAGGGAGGGAGGGAGGAGAGACGACGCTTGACCTAGCCGCGGCAGTTTCATCCCTCAAGGCCACCCCGGGTTAACGCGCATCCATTGTTCCGTAAAATGGCTTCCGCCGGACCACCACCGCCCCCAGAGAGAGACCTTTCCTCACCTGGACCCAGCGGCACTAAACCAAAGAAGACACGACGTTCATTAAGCTACGAGGTGAAGTACCAAATTGTTCAAGATTTGGAGAAAGGAAGACGCCAAGTTGATCTCGCGCGCCAGCATGGCGTCAACGAATCTACGATTCGTACAATCAAGAAGGATGCAGCCAAGATCAAAGACCACATGAAAATCACAAAGTCTGCAGGTGCTTCATCTATCAGGTATTGCCAGAACAGGGTGCTGGCAAAAGTGGAAACTTTGCTGGTGAGTTATTTGGTGCGTCAGGTGCGACGCAACATGGCGGTGGACACGCGCTCAGTGCAGGAGTACGCACGTGAGCTATACGCAGCAGTGACACGTAAACTGGGAATTGCAGAGCCCAAACCCTTCAATGCTTCCTCTGGTTGGCTGCATAGGTTTAAGAAGAGGAACAAGGTCAGCAACATCAACATTGGTGGTGAGGAAGCGAGTGCTGACCGTGCGGCGGCTAGAGATTTTCCTCCGTTTTTACGTGAGATTATGGAGGAAGGACAGTACAGTGACGACCAGGTGTTTAACATGGACGAATCTGGTCTTTTCTGGAAAAAGTTACCTTCCAAGACCTTCGTTGTCCAGTCTGCGAGCAAGGTAAGGGGCCAGAAGATGCAGAAGGAACGCATCACCGTCCTGTTTACCACCAATGCCTCCGGTACCTGTAAACCAAAGTTATCGGTGATTCACAAAGCCCGCAAGCCGCACGCCTACAAGAATATGGACATGAACAAGCTTAATGTCCACTGGCTAACCGCACGTAAGGCGTGGATGTCCTCTTCTCTGTCCCTCTTCTGGTTTGACAACTGTTTTGTTCCTGACGTGCAGAAATTCTGCGAGCAACAGAATGTTTCATTCAATATTTTGTTGCTCCTTGACAACGCACCAGGACACTCGCCCCTACTTATGGATCGTCACCCCAACGTAAAAGTGGTCTTCCTTCCTCCCAACACTACGTCATTAATCCAGCCTATGGACCAGGAGTTGATCTGCAATGTGAAAGCTGCGTACTCTGCAAAGAAGTTCAAGCTCCTGAACGACTCTACCAACACCAAGGATGAGTTGCGTAAGCTGGGTGACACCGACAGCGAGAGTAAAAGCGACGAGGACAAGGAACAAGAGGCGGCGACTCAAGAACTTCTCGTCAAACAATTTTGGAAGAAGTTTAACGTTAAACAAGCTGTAGACTTCTTGGTGGAGGCATGGGATCTGCTGACTATTGCTACGATTCGTCACGCATGGAGACATGTGTTGCATGGCATACCAGGTGAGAGGAGGAGTGAACCTGTGACTGGTCAGGTTCAGACTGTTGCAGTAGCAGTGGACCTTGCCAGAAAAGCTGCGCTCAGTATTACAGCTGAAGGCTTCTCCGAGACCACCAACGAAGACATCATGGAGGTGATCAGAGATCCTGAAGTGACTGCCGACGAGATGTTGGAAGAAGAACCCGCCAGTGAAGAGGAGGAAGAAGGTGCGTCATTCTCCGAAGAACCTAGTTTAAGTCATAGTGATATTAAGTGTCTCATAGAGTTTACAGAAAAAATTAAGTCCATCGTTTCCCGCGACAATGACGATGAACGCCATGACGTCTTCCATACCCGACTGGTGCAGGCTATGGAGCCGTACATCAAGGTGTATCACGACAACATCAACACCAGCCGTCAGAAAAGCATAACCGAGTTCTTCGCCCGCAACCCACCACAGCCAGTCCAAGCCAGTGATAGTGAGAGTGAAGTTGATTTTGAGGGATTTGTCAGGGAAGCCATGACAACTGTAAGTGACAGTGATATTGATTCACCTAGTAATGGTGATTCACCTGAGGGGCAGTAATCTGCCCTCTGCCTCGGAACCAGCCTCCATCCCCGTATGCCGACCCATCTCTTCTACTACCGTAAGTGTTCCGCAAAATTTTTCGTTTTTTAACCTATTCTTTATTTTTCCTATGTTAACCTTTATCTTTCCTAACCTAACCTCTTCTATATTACTTGTTTTTCATGCCACCATAAAGTTAAGATAGAATTTTTACTACAACATAGTTATTTGTCGTCAAAAAGTGGAGTTTGGGGGTCGGGCTGGGTTCTATTGGAATTAATCCCATATGTTCTGTTGTTCACTTAACGCGGATTTCACTTAACGCGGGACCCTCTGGGTTCTATTGACCGCGTTAAGTGGGGGTTATAACTTTATATATATATATATATATATATATATATATATATATATATATATATATATATATATATATATATATATATATATATATATATATATATATATATATATATATATATATATATATATATATATATATATATATATATATATATATATATATATATATATATATATATATATTGAATTTATGTGGATCTCTGATGCTATTTCCCTGGTGGAGATATGTTGCATTTATTGATTTTGCTTGTTATGTGTGTGTTCGCTTGAAGAGAAAAGTAATAAGCCTCATCTATCCACTTGCCTACCAACCAACATAACTATCATCACTGTGGTAGAGAGGGACTACTCGATACATGTGTATTGGATGAAGGATGCTGTTTTGTTCCTCCTATTTTTGGATTGTACTTTTTTATTTGAATTGTTCTTTTGAGTTTAGATACAATCAAAGGTGCCACTTGGGGATAGGGTTAAAGTTACTTTTTGGCTACTGTTTGGGTGATTCACAGCTTTCCCCGAGTGTTAATATTCTGAAATGGTGCACAGATATATCTTATACATTTCTTTTGATTTGTGTTTATTTGTCCACATAACCTACATAGAAGTGTGAAAAATAGGCCTAATATAAAATAATTTTTGGGGGGACATATGTGAGGGGGTCCTCGGTTAATTCTCTCTCATATAAGGTCTCCGCGGTTAATTCTCTCTTATATAAGGGGTCCTTGGTTGAAAAAAACGTTTGAGAACCCCTGTATTAGAGGACTGGATGAACAACCAGATACCACCTACACATACCATGCTGCTCACCTTCAGTGGTACTGGATATAACAAATACTGTACTTTACAATGTGTGATAAGGGAAAAAATTATTTTGTCCCCCTTTCCTTAAAATCCTTCATACATATACTCGTATACAATAGTCCTTGGAAATATAGTTAATACATTAAAAAAATAAAATTATCAATCCCATGTTCCAAAATCCAATATTTAGCACAACTTTATAAAGACTATCTTATCTCCTACTTGTTAACAAAGGGTAAACTGTACTACTACTATTACTTTGCTGTCACTCGGAATCAAGTATGATGATCATCCAGCTATGAAACGAGTTATTAGGGATGTTACCAAGGTTGGTGAGTTTTAAGGTGACTAAAGAGGCCAATACGGGACAGGCCGAGTCGTTCACAGATGTTGCACATATGGATCGCTTCATCTAGTGAGGGAGGGGCGGCGGCAGTGTCTTTCCGGCGCTGGCACTTGTCTGCCTTGGTTTGCAGTTGGGCTTATTCGAAAATATTGACACCTTCTTGTGTGGTGATCCTCCAAGCATTACGGTGTGGAGTAATCGTTTCCCAGGTGAGGGGGTCGATTTGGCACTTTGTTGCCCGCCAGCGTTACATTTATTATTCATTAGATGACTGTAAAGTAGCTGCTTTGGCAGTCTACTGTCGTCCATGTGGGTAACATGGCCAGTCAACGTAGTTGTTCAAGGCTGAAATTATATACAAAGTCGCATGTACATAGAGCAGTGGTTTTCCCCACCCTGCTACATGGCAGTGAGACAGGGGTTACATTCAGGAGGAACCTCAAGACACTTGAAAACTTTCACGAACGTAGTCTTTTTTTTTTACGAGCATTAGCCCACCCGGGCACAGGTAATGACGCACATCAGGGCCTGGGGGGCGAAAATATAATAATAAATAATAAATAAATAAATAAATAAATAATAATAATAATAATAATAATAATAATAATAATATCTATTCTTATTATTATTATTACAACAATTAATAAAATTAATAGCAAATTAATACAAAAATAATAAAACTAATAAAAATAATAACCAAAAAAAAATACAAAATTGAAAAAATAAATCAAGAGTGAGAAATTATATACATTATATATGTTGTGTTGTCCAAGTAAGAGAAGCAATTGAGACCCTGCAATTGTGTGTAAATGAGGAAGAAAGTCAGATGAGCAACCTGGGACTTGGTCACAATTTTTGTGATGCCATATGGCAGCAGAGTCTACCATTAGACAATACATTATGCTTCCAATATCTTCCCAGGAGGTAGGACCTCCCTGTTTGGTAGCTGCCTATGGTATCTACCTACAGTCTATGTTCCATCTTCCAAGTTAGCTGGGAAGACGAGAACAACTGCCAGTATTCTCGCTGACACCAACTGTATGAGCATCAATGCCACCAGTATCCAAACTGTACTGTATACCAAGACTGAAGTAGGGGATTCTCTTACCCAGGACAAAAACTGCTTGGGTATCTGCATATAAAACTCCTGGGTAAAAGTGTCGAGTTGCCCACACACATTACCTATTTCCCTTTTTATTATAAAGAAATCATTTATTCTACAGAGAAGAATTGGGGAGAACAAAATTTATTCCCCTGAATGTTGTCATAAAAGTATAACAAGTTCACCTACCCAGCTTAGTAAGATACTTGTCAGCGTCTGTAGCAGCCTGTAAGTGGAACTGCCCATGACGTACAAAGATCAAGTGACGTGTCGATGTTGGTCCATCCTTTTCTAAGGTTTCTTCAGGTATATCCTTAACACGGTTGTTGTTACAATCTATCTTTGACTTGGATGGTTTCGCCAAACTCTGAGCTGCTCTTCTGGAAAATTAATGATGAAGAAAACATTGAATTTAGAGACTATCAATGTTACTGTTGTTTAGAATGAGAAGCAGATAACTACACCAATGGAACTCACGAAAATTAGATATAGTACTGTACACAGGAAAGTCAACACAACAGTAACTATCCATTTACATTAACACAAAAAACAAAGTTAAGAAAAAACTTCCTATATACAATTTCAAACACCTCAACTAAATTGCAAGCAGTGAGGAACAGACCAAAACGGTCTCGGGTAATCTGGATTCGGTATACTACTGTACAATGAGTTGACTGATGGACCTACAAACCTGTCCCAGTTCGAATCCCACTTGACAGATGAGGTGTTAATGGGGGTCAAAGCGGCCAGTACAGTCTTGTTCCTCTCATCACCGGTTACAATGTACCCTGCGATGGCTCCTGCAGCTGCCATTACTGCCCTTACACGAAATAATTTCTTCATGTATGCCATTCTTTTCCTTCAGATTCTTTCAATTTTTCACCAAAGGAGTCTAATTCTTGTGTGTCTGCAGGATTATGTATTCTATTAGAACTTGTCAATTTTGTCGGAATTGATGGATTTGGGTAAAACGAGAAGCTCCTCTATTTCATGGTCTACTCACAGGTCCCTCATTAACCACCTAAAACATTGAGACAGCAGATACTGAATCGGTATTAATCATTAAAAACTATACACTGTACTGCACTTGAAAAATATAGTGTTGGGTACTGTCTTACCAGTAATGGCTATTGTGTAGAGTTAATAAAAGACATGGTTAGGAAGGCACACACTGAATTTGATCGTGTAAAGGTACAGTACGTACCGAAATTTTCTAGTGAATCGGTACGAAGACAATTACGGTATCATAAGTTTAATGTGTTGCATAAATTACAGTATTACTTTATCCTTATTATCAATTAGGTGCTTGGGCTGTCAGTCACATCTTTGTCACACGCTGTTGGCAAGTAGTGTACTGTCTCCAGAAAGTACCGGTATCTGTACCCGCACCAGAATTGGTCAAGTTTCGTCTTGAATGTATTCACACTTGGCATTGTCGCAACAGACATTATTTCAAGAGTTCACAACTCTCACTCCAGAATGGTAGTTCTGACAATTTTGTAAGCTTGTTGCTACTTTAATCTAAGGCTGTGAATTTTATTGGTGTAGGCATATGCCACGCTTAACGTTGTTTCAGTACTACATCGATAAACTTAAGAGACCAAAAAACTCATCGTTTTGTGTCGTCAGACTACATTTTACTGTGCATCACCCTCTCTTGTCAGCTGACGCCACGCCCCTCTGCCTATCGGTGAGTACCAATACTAACTTAGTTGTATATGTATTCATTATTTTCTTTTGAAATGACAATGATTTTCTGTATATGTAATGTATTTCACGAGGCAAATGGAGGCTCAGGAACGTAACTCCCGTATTTTATCTATTTCTTTTGGGGAAAATTGATGAGCTTAATGTTGTTTCGTATAATGTTGAGTTTTTAGGAATGTAATCTCGACGTTAAACGAGGACTTATTGTACAGTATAAACATTGACTGAGTAATGTCCTGAGGTGCTTACAGACTATTATTAAGTCACCCCTTACCCAACTATAGTGTAAAATATGCAACTGCAGACGTTAATCTCTGGGTAAGTGAGGTGCTATAGTGCAGGCACCAGTCTGGTGGCCCTCCTTTGGACATTCTTATTCAACTGACCATCTCTTGCTATCTTGGGGAGCAAATGGGATAAATCATATTATGTAGGACTCAACATACAGGAAAAACGGGATGTGAATTACCACTTAATGAAAAACATAACCAACTATACCTAAACTAAACTAACCTAAACCTATCGGTAAAATTATAGGTCATCCCTGTATTTAGATAACCAAACTAATCTAACCCAACCAACCTAACCGAGTCACAGAACCCAGGAGCTATATCCAACCTGGCTTACCCACGCAGAGGCAGCTCTCATCGGCTCTAAAACTACTGTCTCTACACCACAGGTTAGACACCCTAGAGCAGCTCTGCTACTCTAAGCAGAAAGCTGCTCCTCTTCCTGCCCCAAACACCACGTCCTACCGACCCCAACACACCCGTCCTGCCTCAGACGCCGCCCCCGGCCCAGCAGTAACCCCTGCCGCTCCTCCTGATGCGGACCCACACACCCCTCTTTTCTCCCTCAGGTACCCCCTGCTGCTGTCGTGGACCCTGCTGCTGTCATGCACCCTTCTGCTGTCATGGACCCTCTTCCTGCTGACGCAGCCCCTGCTCCTGACCCAGGCCCACACACCCCAGCAGGCGCATCTGAGGACTCTGTACCTGTCGCGAGGGAAGTACAACATTCATCGCCCCCACACACCCTTTTTCTCCCACAGATCTCGTGTATGCTAGACAGAGTTTCCCCCCCTAGCGGCCGGCTCATCCACGCCTTCGCCGTTATGTCCCACATGTGGCATATACCGCCCGTTCTGCCTCACATGTGGCAAGCAACTCTGCCAACCTCCAGCCTCCCGCCGCCCCCGGAGGGGAAGGGGAGTATTGTAGTGGATTCCTCCCCTACAAGCACCGAACCTTCTCGAAATCCCCAGCCTACGCCTCCAGCGCCGCCCACGGAGCGTGGGTCAACTATCTACCCACGCCTACCCCCGCCTTATAAGGCCTGACACCGCTGTGACCAGCTCTCTTTTCTATCCAGTGCCACCAGCAAGCAACACCTCCTCCTCCGCGCCAGCCGTGTGGCTGCCACTCCCGCCACCGACCTTGGCGTCCCTCAAGCCACTTGCCCTCACTCTGGGCACCCTCACCACCCAGCTCTCTCTACTCAATGCTTATTATCATGCTACCTACCCAGCAACATGCTGCATTGTACATCCAATACAATATGTATACAGTGAGCACATTGTGAGTTTCCTTTCTCCATCCCATCCTGAGTGTGAACCAATATCTCATACTCCTACAGTCCCCCTAAGATTCTCCAGATGACAGAAATGATAATAATGTCCCATCCTAGCTCTCTAACCGAAACTAACAACCTTATACTGTACAGTACTGGAATAGCTTTGGTTAGGTTAGCTCAGGTTTGGTTGGTTTTTGTTAAGTGTTTTTCAAACTTAAATTTTTCTTGCTTTCCCAGAATATTGAAATAGCATACAGTAGTTTCCATTAAAACAAATGCCAATTGTTGACCACTGACCAACCAGCAATTTTTCATAGATAATAATAAGTTCCACAATTCCCCTACATTTTATAGTGGACACTTAGTTTGTGCAAATTTGTTAAAAGTAGTTATTTATAATTTTAACCAAACCTAACCTTAGTTGATAAGAATATCAAGTGGCAGAAGGGATGCTAGAAGACCTCACCAACCTAACCTTACCTAACTTCCTAGCCATGGAGCTCCACCCCCTGGACCCCACGACATAGTAAACAGAAAGAACTTACTATGATATGGTGTAATTTTATGTTTTTGTGGACGTGAGAGCAGCCACCTAGACCATGCAGCTCAAAGTACACAGAGTGTTTTTAAATACTGTACGTAAATATGATTGGCTGTTTACTAATTATCTACCATACGAAGAATTTGCACAAAAAATTATTATATCAGAAGTTAATGATGAAAATATAGTAAGAAAAAATAATCAAAACAAATACTGTAACCCGTCGGTGGGTCAGTTGTCAATATTAGCCAAAAGAAGCACAACTAAGTTAAGTTAGGTTAGGTTAGGTTGGTGTTAGGTTAGGGTGGTTAATCGGATGGTGAACCTGACCCAAGCCGAGTCCTAATTTTCAGGGGATACTTTTGATGTATAATATACAAGTCAAATAAAATAAAAATTAAATTCAAGAAAAATGAAAAATACCAAGAAGTCCACAAGAACAATCCTAACCAAACACTGACCTAACCTATCGCTAAGCTAACCTAACCTAATGCAGAGCTAAGCTAACACTAAGCTAAGCTAACATTAAGCTAGGCTAACACTAAGGTAGGCTAACACTAAGCTAGGCTAACACTATGCAAAGCTAACACTAAGCTAAGCAAACCTAACCTAGCACTAAGCTAACCTAACACTAAGTTAACCTAACACTTATCTAAGCAAACACCAAGCTAACCAAATACTAAGCTAACCATAACCTAAGCTAACACTAGGCTAAGCTAAGCAAAACTAACCTAGCACTAAGCTAACCTAACCTAGCACTAAGCTAACCTAACCTAACACTAAGCTAACCTAACCTAACACTAAGCTAAGCTAACACTAAGTTAAGCTAACACTAAGCTAAGCTAATACTAAGCTAACTTAATACTAAGCTAACCAAACACTAAGCTAACCATAACTTAAACTAACACTAAGCTAACCATAACCTAAACCAGGGGTCACCAAACTTTTTTCACAGTGGGCCGGATAACTGAAAGAATGACGAGCGCGGGTCGCATAATCATTCTGTTCAATGCAAGCCAGAACGAAAGCTCTGGTAACGTCAGAGCGTAGGCGGAGCTACCACGAGCCGGGGAAGGACTTGGGATCCAGCCCGCAGGCCGTAGTTTGGTGACCCCTGACCTAAACTAACACTTAGCTAACCCAAGCTAACACTAAGTGAAGCTAACACTAAGCTAAGCTGACACTAAGCTAACCAAACACTAAGCTAACCCTGTATTAGCCTCTGTCACATTAATATTATATAAATATGGGCTAAGGACATATATTAATTATATACATTCTATCACCCAGACTATTGAGCATAAAGCTACATAAGTATTTGTTCTGTCACACCTCCGAGGGTGGACAGCCCATAAATCTACAGACTCAACCCTCAGTGTATTGGTCGGCTGTTTAGATAATGGCTGTGTTGAAGTGTGGGTTATTCTCCAACCACCAGACTCAAGAAAGTACAGCCCAGTTCCCCGAGTTCACAGCCCGACATGATACCCTTAAAGTCGTGTCGTGAGACCAGCTCTCCTGGCTGTACCTCTCTAATTATATCAGCTAATTACAAGCTAATAGCCCATTAGTCTGACAGTACCAAATAATTGTACAGACATGACTACCCAATATAACTAGAAAATCACCACGTGTGTCTACATTAAACCAAGGAACAACGAGTGAAGAGAACAGTACCAGTGTCTTGTTTAACCTACAAGCTAAGATAATTACAAGTACAACCCAGGACAGCTGTGACGTTTCACCTATCAACCAATCTACGACTGTATCAAAGGTGACATGCCGTGAGATTATCCGATATCTCACTCAGCTGCAGCAAAGGCACCAGTGACTAACCTACACTCGTTCAGGCAAGTGTTAAGGACAAGTTTATGGTGTGGTCACAAGAGCCATAATCAGCTAGACAGGCGGGGATAGCAGAGACCCGGTGGTATTTTCTCATGGTATCACCTATCAACCTCAGCAGAGCAGATGTATGTGGTATGGGAGTCCCAACAGTGACGTCATCTACTGTAGACCGACACCATCTGGAATACTACGTCATCCACCCAGCCCAGCTGACCAGATGTAAACAAGAGGACTTCTCAGATAAACTTAAATCAACTCTATGGTATTAGGTATTTCACAAACAATCATTAGTTATATATACACATTTTATATAGAATTTAAAACATATCTTCACACGGTAGGGATAGTGATAGATAATTATTAATTATCAAGTGCCTTGTAACAATTAATGGAAAAATAACTTATACAATTAATTATCACTAAAATTTACAAGTCACATTACCTTATTGTAAATTGATTGGCAAAGTTTTTAAACATTTAAATCCAAGAAACATTTATGGATCATTTATATATTTTTAATGATCAACAAGTTGTAAACCATAATGAAAACTTAGATAATGATTCAAGTGACACTGTACCTCATGACACAGTTAACATTGACACATGTGAACTCAAAGGTGCGCATGAATTACAAGTCATTGAACCTGAACTAACAGTAAACACTTCAATTGAAGTTAGTGAAACAGTCAGATAAAAATAACGAATTATTATTTACACAACTTAGGGCAGGACGTTCTTACGACACTTTACCTCTGTATAGTGAACCTACCCCTTTGACACTACAAGTATAGTGTATTGGCATCTTCTAATGCATGCACTAGTAATTTACCAGTATTTCAATTAACTAGTAAACCTCTAACCACTAACATTACTGACCCAGTGACGCAAGCAACTAATGTGTGGAAAATTCTACCACAGCTTGATCGAATCCGAGACTTCACAGGGGAAGATCCCAACTATAATGTATTAGCATTTCTCCGAGCATGTGAAGAGACAGCGAGGATCGTAAAGTATTCGTCCATGGTCATATTAAACCGGGGTGTCGCGGAAGTCACCTAATGAATGATACGAGTTTTACTCAATCATAATATTATAATTTCAAAAGAAATTTGTTAAGCTTCTTTGATCAGGGAGGAGTTGACGGTCATCTCACATGGGTTTTTAGAATGGTAAACAACCGCACCGCGAGTCAAAACACAGGGTATCTTTATGACACAGTCTATAGCGGGGGAGGCTTATGACGATGTGAAAGCACACTTCTCCGGCTCTGATTGGTTTGACAAGGACCGTGAAATGAGTGAGGAACAAGTGTTTCGTCGAGTATATTCAATTTAAATTTCTTCTTCAAGACGTAGAGTTAAAGCAGGCTTAAAAGGAAATTTACCCCCAGTCAGACGAAATCACAGATTATGCAGAAAAGATAGTACAGAGAGCCCCATGCACACCATTGCACCGGTAGCAACACCACCAATTAAGCCCAAACAAAACACTGTGTAAAACTTGCAAGAAACAGAATCATACGACTGAAGACTGTTACTATGCAAAACAAGACGGTAATACCTATCAACATCCTCGTGGCCTCCTTCATTTTCTCCCAGAACAGACAAACAGACAAGTGATAAAGACTAAAGAATGATAAAGAAGGACAGATAAATAGGACAAGAGTTAGAATGGCAAATACACACACACATTCACATACATAACACGCCCATGCACTCACACATAAAGCACACATACAGTCATACACAAACATGCACACAGGTAAACATTCACACTCAAGCTAGCAAGCTGAAGTGTACTTCCTGTGAGCAAGAACACGCCTCCTTTGACAAGCACTGCCCAACTTGGAAGAATGAGAAGAATAGTGAGTCATACCAATTTAGCACTAAAAATGGTAGGATTATATAAGTAAAGAATGAGTATGAACAACAATGGCACCAATAAATAAGGAAATAATTAATAAAGGAAGTGTACAAATATTTCACCCACGTAAAGCAGCGACCACATAAATTATGAAACAAAATAAATAACACCAATTACGGAGTATATTATGCTTGAGTCAACCTCAAACGCAATACAGTATATGGTTCAGACAATACAATCCACTGTTTTCGTGATGGTATCCCAGGCCAGACTGAGATCATCCGGTCCTATCAGCCGCTATCACCACTTGCAAAGGGATGACACACGGACACGTACTGAACAAGTCAGGTGCTGAACACACTAGTGAGCCACGGCAACGTAGTACACCTCGGACCGGAATTCCCCACGTACAGTCTCGTTCAAGATTCTTCGAACAGTGTTGGAGACAGCTGGCAACTCAAGGCCGTTTGTTTACTATACTACATAATAAAAATTATGAATGAATGTAAAAGTGATCGGTGATTGGTTACTTAGTTTCCCGTTGCTTAATTAATGGTTGGGCTTTGTGGTTTCGTATTATATTATAACTTTCTGCTAGTATATACTGTTAATTTGATTTTTTCAATAGATAGAGCACTGGGCCAACCTATATGAATTTATGCTTCGACAATTAAACATAAGTAAAAATCGGTAAGTATGTTAAAGAACATCATGCATCGGGCACAGCTGTGTGCAGGCTGTTAATGAGGTTGCCTGTTTATCATTAATTTATACTAATATTGGCTTCAAACGTTTAATTCCTTTCAGGTAATGAATCCAACTGTTGTATGTAACCGATGCTAATCAGAGTTCTTTCTAAAGATGCGGATTTCATGCAACTCAAACTGCGGTTTTAATTCGCTGTGGGATGAAGCAGAATCATCAGTTTACTGCTACCTGTAGTAAGTGGGTGTGAGCTTGTGTGTGCATGTGGAGTGTGTATGTATGTGTGTGTGTGTGTGTGTGTGTGTGTGTGTGTATGTGTGTTAGCCTGTGTATGTGTGTCAGCCTGTGTCTGTATTTAATAATGACGTTGTTCAATTGAAGGTGATGGTAATTAATCATACGGACCAAGATGGTGTGAATTAGTGCAGTAGCATATGCCCAATACTTTTACAAGCCTTTATCTAGCAATATCATTGCTATTTCACCCCCCCCCCCTTTATCCTTGTTTCTAACTTGTGTAGAATACACCACCTTTAGTCTGGTGGCTATAAAAAAATTTATATATTTTTTTTAAATGTGTATGATGTACTATAAATTTGTATCTTATTCATTCATTCATATATTTCTTTATAAATGCCTAATAAAATATAAATACTGCATAACGCTAACGTTATTGGCGGGAAGGTGAGGGAGACAGAGGTGTTATCGGTGCTGATTACCCTTCCACTCCCACAGTTGTAGAAGACCCCTGCCAACATGGAATACCATATGCAGAAAATCATTGAACGTGGAAGAATAATCAGCATGAAGGAGGTTGGGTTTTCACCCACTAAAATTGCGAGAGAGTTGGGGGATTGTCGGTCAACTGTATATTATTGGATTAAGCAATGGGAAGAGGAGGGGAGTTTAAAGAACCACCACAGGACGGGAATGCCGCACAGAACAACACTTGCACAAGTTGAAGCCATCCGGAATTTCGCTGAGGCCAACCCCTTCAAGACTTCAATTTCAACAAGAGAGGATCTGCAATTAAATATTTCCCCTTTAACAATAAGGCGAAGACTTCACGAAGGAGGCATTCACCATAGAACTCCCGCCAACAAGAAGCTAAATGAGTGACATCGCGAGGGCAGGTTGCAGTTTGCTCGACGATATACTGAAGGAGGCCTAGATTTCTGGGGTAGAAAATATTCACTGATGAAAAAACTCTCTTCTACCTCTCACGGAAGGTTGTATTGCTGGAGGAGGAACAACACCCGATATGCTAGACAGCATATTTATGAGGAAGCAAGGAGTGGCCATATGACTTGCAATGTTTGGGGATGGATATATTTGCACAGAGTTGGGGAGCTGACTGACAGAAGGAAGATTCACATATGAACATTATTTAAAAATACTAGAAAAAGTTATGCTTCCCTCGGTGCGTGCAAATGCTTTCCTGTTTCCCGAAAACTATCATATTCATGCACGATTGGTCTCCTATCCATACCGCACGGATTTTAACGCGGTGGTTTGCAGTACAAATGAATTTGCAAGTCTTAGACTGGCCAAGTAAAGGTTGTGACAGGAACCCTATAGAGAACGCTTGGGAGCCAGCTGAAGAGAGAACCAGGGTGCAGCTACTGGAGCATACACACCGTGAGTGGAAGGTGCGGAGGCGGAAACCGCAACTAAAGGTGCGGCCACACGTTCGTACATTTTGTCGCCAACATGTGATCGATAAGACGAAATGAGGCACAGGGTTCCGACTCCTGGTAGGGTGCGGCTGCGTGCACTAGATCGGTGTTTCCTCTTGTTGATCACATGTTGGCGACAAAACGTACGCACGTGTGGCCGCACCTTTATACACAATAACGTCGCCTCCGTTCCCAACAGGCTGCAGCAAGTAATCGAGAATGAAGGTGGCTGGACTAAATATTAATGTGTCAGAAATAATTTCCCTATGTAATCAACGTCACATTCTAAATGCACATCGATATTAATCTTTTCTGTTAACTTAAATAAATTTAATTTTCATGAATATATGTCAAATTGTATAATAAATGTAAAGAAAACAATCCTCTTCTAATATCCTCACTTATGCAGTATGTATTCAGGATGATTTAAGTCAAATAAATCATAACATTATACTTATAATTATTATGAAAGAGTACAGTATCATATATGATAAATATATTGCATGTGAAATAATTACCATATCTACCACGGAAAAAATCAGAGAGGGAGACGGAGACAAAAACAACTGTATAAAGACACAATTCATACAATACCGTTTGTGATGGTCCGATCACAGCAGTCCGATTCAGCTCTTCAAGGCACTTGTGAC